ATTTTGTACTTCAGTACTTAGAGGGAAAGTTCGTTGTATTTCAATAACATCGCGCGAAATTCTAGCTCATAACCCGGCCGGGTCGAAATTTACAAAACTCTAAAAAAAAAATTTCAAGCATACTTACTATCTGTGTAAAAATATATATATATAAAATTTTTTGAAAATAAAAAAGCCGGGTTACTTTTAATAAATTTTATGAAAACCGATTTTATTAAGTTTGGCCTGATTTGGAATATTTCCTGACTGCGGTACCTAAATAAAGATCAGTGATAAAGATAAATTCTTTTATACCAAAAAAAAATAAAACTTTACGATTAATTGCGAGATAATGTTTCCAAAATTTTCAAACGAAACTACGAGTGATCAGAATCAGGTTAAAGAAAACGCGTAAACTTCATATTAAACGCGAGGTAAAATATTATTAACGCGTTAACGTTTATAATATATATTAGGATGTTTATCTGGCAGACAAGCTTGAGTACTTTGAAAATTTAGTGATATATAATGCAATCAAGCAATTAGCCTTACAAAAAGAATCAAGAATAAATAAACCGGCTGACATAAACGAAAAGGTAATATGATCCAATATATACTTATTAATTCAGTGTTGTCAAGATTTATTAAGTTTTTTTTTTTCCTGGCAAATAGACATTAGAAGCGGTTGTAAATTGTTTAGCCTTTGCAGAATCGAAGCAATTATTAAATTTTCGACCGATAGATCCATCTATAAACAATAACAATAATGCGTCATTGCTTGGATTGACTATGGAAGAACTAAATAAAGCTGTTGAAAACGATTCAAGAGAATTAAATGTTTGTCATCTTATGAAATTTTTGTGTGTACGTATTAATACTTTCATTATTTAATATTTGTCTATTGTTTTCATTATAAAGAAACATAAAGAAACAGTTTTGAGTTGCATTGAAAACAGATTGACAAAACAATGCATAGATATAGCTAAATTTTATTATACTGAAGAAGGTAAGAAAAAGGTAACATTATTATATTTCAATTATTTTAAACTTACATGGAATGCTACAAAAGTATTATGTTACAAAATAGAATCAAAATCTGAAACACAAAAAATACTGTTTGCTAAGGCATCTAAATTGGATTCAATCTTAACCTCCCAACTTGAAGAATTACGGCTTGCTAAAATCAATAGAATTATAAATCAAATTCGATTAGGAAATCAAATAACCAATTATATGAATGTAAAGTTATAGTTTGGGTAATTTCATTTGAGTTGGTTTTATCTCTACGTATCTTAAATATTCTTAATATATTCTTAATAATAGGTAATGAAAGATATTTTATCCGTTCTTTGGAATATTATTGAGGAATTTCAGTTGCGCCATGAATTACAAAAAAACACTGTTTTTAACGACTATTTTTCAATGCTTGTTAAAAATATCGGTTTAAAATTGAGGTATTTGCTTTATTACTATAATTATTTTGTCTATCCATTTTGCAACAACTTATGTCGTACAAATTCAGTGTACTTAGATTAAATGCCTTGATGGTTATTTATGATAAAGAAACTGTAGAAGGACTCACGTCAATAAGGTATGTTCCATATATATATATATATATATATATATATATTTTACGTTTTATTATTGTTTCTTTATTAAGTTTACAGATTAAAAAGAAAATTTACATAATATTTATAAAATAGGGATAATCTTATGCGTGAAGAAAAAGATTATCGTCGGGAATTAGATGCATTGGAAGTGCAACTTTCACGATATCAGGGTTTTTGCGGAGAGTTTGAACAAATTGTGCAATGCTATAATAACTTGAATAAAGAAATTGAGAAAGTGAAAGATGATATTCAAAGAATGACAGTGTAATTAAATACATTCTCTGAATATCACCTTTCAATTTCTCGATTTATCCGAGTTATGATAGGCTTATTAAGTGAATGATTTTGTCAAACAAAAAAAATGTAAGATGACTTAATTTTAAAAACCTTTTTTTTTGATCCTTTTTAAAAAAAAGGTAGATTTTTGCCTTAAATCAATATATAAAAGTCTCCACGTTTCATAATTATCTCATCGTATCGACTAAATAGAATAACAATCGCAAATATCTTAGAGTCGTACATACATATATATATATTTGTGTGTTCCTACGTATGTATGTATGTACGTATCGGTATGGATACTTCTATAAAGCGAGATAATGTTGTTTAAGTCTCACCCGTCAGCCCCAACCAGGATATATGGAACTTTTTTATAAATAGTAAATTTATTTTAGGTATTTGCGTGTAAATTTATACGTATAACATTTTTTTATTTAATAAAAATCCTTTTAAGAGTACATTATACAGTATATATATATATCGTATCTGTTAATCTTAAGCTAAAACCGTTCGATGATGTTGGCAGTGTGTAATCACGCGCTATTATTTACTATTTGTTTGTCTATATCGATATGATATGATATTTTTCGGACTTTACATTTTAATTCATTCTTTTAATTTCTACTATATATATCTCTCACTCTTTAACTCTTTCCACTTTCTAGTATTATTAAACTTTTAATAAATGATGTCGTTGAGAACACCACCTCCTAGTCGTCAGCAGCGCATAAGTGGTGAAGCAAGAAATGGTGATACAACGAGTATTAACAATTCTCAAGACATGGCAAGAAAAAGACAGCTTGAAAAAGACGAGAAAATAAGGAAGAAAGTTGAACATGATCTTACAAGGACCAATAAACTTTATGGGAAGAGAACGCTTGATAAAATACCAAAGACTGCTGGTTCGGTTGGAAGCTTAAGACCTTCCCCCGCGATAACTTTACTAGGTAGGCACTTGGTTTATCCCTTGGAAACTTGGATTTTAAACTATACATAAACTTAAGGACCCATGAAAGGAGGTATATAAACTAATTTATCTATTTTATGTTTTAGAAACGGCCAGTGTGATGGACGCCGCACGCTTTATGGCCGTAAGCAGGTTGAAAATTTGATACCATTTCTTAAATGTTTTACCTTTTTTTTTTTTTTAAAAAAAAAAAATTTTTTTTTTATTGATTTAATAAAATATGATAGAGCCACAGCAGTACTTGTTGTAGATGAATCAGAAAGGTTGATAGGAATCGTTACTGACAAAGACTTAGCATTCAGAGTTTGCGCTGAAGGTCTTAATCCTAATGCAACATCCCTCGCAGATATAATGACTAGGAATCCCGATTGTATTACAACATCCTCTAATGCTCCTGAAGCTTTAAATCGTATGGTTTCAGGTGGATACCGACATTTGGTGTGCAATTCATTTTATATAACTTTTATAATTTTTACGATTTTTTACAATTTTTAAAATTACAAATTATAATTTGTTAACTTAATTTTAATTATTTTTCTATCATAGCCACTTCTTGATGACTCTGATGATATAATAGGACTTCTTGATATTACCGAATGTTTATTCCATGCTCTTGCAAGGCTTGAAAAAGCTCATGCATCAACAAAACAGTTATTTGCAGTTTTAGAAGATGTTTCAGACATAAATGCTTTAAATAAAGCAGATTTTTCAACCATGGCTGCACTTATAAAACAACATCTATGTTTTCCTCGACTAAATTCTATTATGGATCCTTCAAAGCCTCCACCAGAAGTATCGATGAAAACGTGTGTGCGAGATGCTGCACGAATTATGAAAGATCATCATCAAACAGCAGTCTTGATTGTTGATGATAATAATCATAATAAAATAATGGGTATTTTTACAACAAAAGATATAGTAACTAGGTAAACTTTATACTAAACTTTTGTTATACAATTTCAGATTAGTTAATAATTTATGCATTCCTGTAAACAGAGTCTATGGTCAAGGTGTTGAACCAAACAACACTTCAATTGTAAGGGTGATGACTCCTTGCCCGGATATAGTAACAACAGATACCACTATCCTGCAAGCCCTGCGTCAAATGCAAGGTACTTTGTTATTTATCGTTTATTTATTACATAATTCTTTAAAATAAATTTTCTAATACTGTATAAATATATATATATTATATATTTACAATTTTTAGATGAACGTTATCAACATTTACCTGTAATCAACGGTAAAAAAATCATTGTTGGAATGGTTGACGTTTTACAACTTACTTATTCCACATTAAATACTGTTAGTATATTAATTTTTTTTTCATTTATTTTATGTTTAATATATTTATAAGTTTAAATATTAATTGTAATTTTTCAGTTGAGAACATTAAATGGTGAACAAGTGGAAGGTGGTCCAGTCTGGAACAAATTTTGGAATACACTAACACCGGAAGATCCTAAATCCGAAGGTTCATCAGATCCTCCTATGAATGAAACTTTTCTCTCGACAAATTCTATAGATCTCCCAATAATAAAACAAAGACCTCATTCCTCAATTCTAACTCCTCCTTCATCAGAAAGTGTTTATTCACGGAGAAATTCCAGCTATTTCAGGCTCGATGACGGTCATTTTATATACAAATGTAAACACGAAGGATCTGAGCAGTCTCATCGATTCACTTCTGATACCCAAAACTTTACTAAATTGAGCCAATTAGTTCGGTCAAAGATGAATATTTCCGAAGGTTCTGATATAGCAATCAGTTATATCGACGAGGAAAATGATAAAGTTATACTATCTTCTGATGAAGATATGGCAATCGCTATGGAAGTTGCAAAAGGTCAAAGTCAAAAATCACCATTGATTCGATTATGTGTTGAAGTAAAATCCCGTGAATTGAAAAATACAGTTTCACGTTCCGTTGAAAGTTCTCATATACCTTCCACAAACTTAACTACAGAATCAACACAATTTCCTATTTCAGAAAATGCTGCTGTGACACTTGGAGGTTTTCTTTCCATTGGAGTTGCCATTGGCGTTGGTGTAATGTGGGCAGCTAAATCAAAATGAAATTTTGCAATTTCCTAATCTAGTTTTTAATTATAATTTAACTTTTTAAAAGTATTCCGAATATGTTTTTTATACTATGTTGTATAAAAAAGAAATGTAATAGTTGTAATTATTACTTTATTATATGATTGATTCGTCTTTTTATTTAAAGATAATCACATCAATAACGATAAGATATTGTATTATTGTAAAGTTTGACTCATAAAATTGGCTGAATTACCAACCAAATAAGGACAATTAAATTTACTGCATATTTATTTTTATTATAAACATCTCTAGAATATAGTTATGTACATATGTACATATTCTGATCTCTAATGCATATTTGATCCGGTAGTGTAATTTGATGGCATAAGAATTATATTGGCGTTAAGTTACACATAGAATGATTAATGTGATATAAATAATGAAAAATTATAATAAACAAAAATACATCATTGTTATTCATGTTATTCATGTTATGTTATTCATGTTATGTTATTCATGTTCTGTTATTCATGTTATTGTTGCATTTTTCCGTATGTGTGGTTTATCAATGTCCTATCAATATGATTGGTTAAATATAATGTAAATAGTGCATAAATATGTTTTTCATTTTATAATTACCAATACAGGTTTCATTTTTATGTGTTTCTCAAGCCTGATTTACTTGTATTAGAGTTGGCTTTACCAAAAAAAAAATAACTAGTTTGCAGAAAAAATCGAATATATTGATACGTATAGCGATAGTGTAAAAAACCATCTAACCGGATATGTATTATGCTAAACTTAGCTGTGATCCGACGTACAGCTGAGTCTAAAAATCTTTAGTTCTTTAACGTTAATCCGTAAAATCTGTAACCAAATCTAAAAAGACTTCACAATAATAATTATTATGATGTTTATTTTTTGATCTTTCGGTTTATTAGAGGATCCTTAGTTAAGTTGTAATAATGGTTATATATATCTAGAGGTTGGATTTCATCATAACTATTCAGTAAATATTCACAAGTTTTGGATCTTGAACAAATATCCGGATTTTGAATAGATACCGTGTGATTATTTATAAATGTGAATATTCACACGAATATTCACGCGAAAATTACACGGATCAATTACATTGATTAGTAATTTTCGATTAGTCGCTGGATCTTCAATGAACATCCGATTTCTAATCGTAGTTATCATAAAGGTCAAGTAGTTTTTAAATCGTAAAATTTTAAAAGTAAGGTTCACATGATATGTATAAATTACTACCTAGCTTTAGATGATCACCGTATATATTTAGTTGTTAGTATACATATTATATTCCTATGACCTCCCCTCCGCTACACTCCGGACAATGTCAACCCAATATATATAACAATTCAGGGTGGATAATCTAATCATAAATGTAGAATCAGGGACAGTGAAAGCATGTGATCGTGGGACTTAATATAATGCATACCAGATACAGACATATTACTGGTTATACGACTTTTAAACTTTTTTATAATGGCAGATTGGATAAATTTTTTAGGTTGGGCCATTCTCCCTCAATTAGCGACAAATTGTGTTCAAAGTATTTATTACAGGACAGTATATTATGCTGGCGCAAACATTCCTAAACCTGGCCAACCGAGATATGCGTTACATCGAAAAAGAATATTCGTCATAGTAGTTTTAGCATATTTGATCTACACAATCGTAGATGTTATTCATTCAAGAAAACCAAATTATTATGACGAACTCAATATTAGTCAAGATTTCACAATCAAAGAAATCAAGACTAACCTTAGAAAGCTGTAAGCCTGCTCTTTTTTTCTTACAATGATTGTCTCTCTTAACATTGCCAAACGTCTAAAAAAAAAAAAACCATTACATTGTAGTCAACTTGAATACCATCCTGATAAAAACCAAGAACAAGGCGCACAAGAAACTTTTATTTTATTACGCGTTGCCTATGATACTCTAACAGACCCAGTTAAACGATTCGCATATGACAGGTTTAGTTCGTTATGTTAATATTACTATTTTTTACTTGTACGTTAATGTTTCTTTTTAAATAACAAACGGATAACTATATAGATTTGGCGCGGAAATCAATAATTGGAATAATTGCATCACATTACGTGATTATCTTGTTAACGGGTGGACTTCCTTTTTTGGCTTTTATATAGGAACAGGCCTTGTTCTATTTATCTTAAATATATTAGGTAAAGGCCAATTCGGTCGGTTTTGGAGATTTGTTGTATTTTTTGCTATAGCCTGCCTTGAAGCATCGATGATTTTACATCCAAATCCACCTTTTATTACTTCGTTATTTTTATCGAGATGGGTCATCTTTGAACAAATTATTATTTTACGTCAACTTTTTATCACCATATTTGTCGCTCTTTCCCAAATTGGTCCGGTACTATTTCCTTCTGACGAGATAATAATTAGTCCTTCACTTGTAAGCCTTGAAACCATTAGTAAAGTTGCGGCTATAGAATCTAGGAATTTTCTTCAAACAAGTTTTCAGCCTTTCCAGGAGGACATCGCTGCACAAAAAGAATTAGAGAAAAAGATGGAGAATTTAGTAGTAGATGCTGTTTTATATCAAAATGATCCAGAATTAACTCAGATGTACAGCCAAGTTTATCAACGAATGGCAAATCGTAGGAAAAACCAGTGAAATATGTATGTGCTTTTTTCTATGCTTTATCATATTTAGTTCTAGTTCACCAAGCTTTTACAAAAAAAAAAGTCCATGATCCCTTATAGGCGTACAATGACGACTGGTATAACAATATTTATAACTAAGATTAACAAACTACAAATTATATATTAAATATATCATATTTGGTAAGGCAAAATAAACCATTCTTGCTTACTTTTTAGAATCGTTACAACAAAACTTTAAGATTTCTGATTACATTTATTTTACCGTATAATCAAAATAATTTCTCTATCATACAATGCTATATTTTTATTCTAGAAATAATAATTGACTTGCAATTCAAGTTGTCAGCTATCAGAATAAAGCAGATAATTGTTTGTAGCAATACAGCAATACTTATTATTGAATCAAATAAATTTTCAATCTTTTGTAATTCAAAGATCTTGAAATTAGAATGTTTAGTATTTGCTTTATTAATTTTATAATTGTTTATTGTGGTTAATAACCTAGATAACAAGTTCTAAGATTTTACAGTTGAGATTATCTAAATTCATATCAAGATAGATATTTATACAGTTAGACTGTATATGCAATTAAATATACCATATCCAGGGTTGTCACTTTACGATGTCCAGTGGCTAGAAGCAACTGGACTGAACTGAATTGGACTTATAAAATTACTATGTCCAGTTGTCCAATGGCGCAGCATTGGACTATGTCCTGTCGGACCATATCGTTCGAAATAAAACTCTGGGGCGTTATTTCGAGATATATAATTTAAAGAGAATTAATAAATAATATTTTATGTATTATTTAAAGATTTCAGAATAGATATTAATATTATTAATATAGACCTTGATACATTTTTAAAGAATAGGTTTTAAACCTACAGTGAAACCTCTCCTCCCTAAGTGCACACCCTCTTTAAGTGCTAAAGCCCGGTCCCAAGCTTGGGACTTATTGCTTCTAACCTCTGCACGTGCACAGAATTTTACAGTCCGAATCTATACGTGCACCCTCTAAGGGTCGATTATTTTCTGCGTTCACGGAATTGGTTCAGATCATTTTTTAAATTTTGGCCTGGATTTAGGGTCTACGGTCATCATAATGCCGGCTAAGATTAATTCGGCCAGAATTTACGGAGCATAACGCTGGCCGACTTTACGTAATTCCGGCCAATCGCAGACTTTTTGCAGAATCATCTTTTAAACGATTAAACAATTAAGAAAAATTTTTAGACAGTTCCAATCTTTAGTTATTAGAAAGACTCATGACACTATTGATTGTAGGGTGAAGTAGAAAGAAATACTAATTTATAAATGTACATCCTTTCTAAGTGCACATTATAGCTTGATTTTAATACGTAGCATGCACTTAAAGAGGTTTTATATTGTATATTTATTAAATATTGAAAAGTAAAAAGTATATTACAAAGATTAAAGTGCATAAAATTAATTTTAAAATTAGATTTTTATTTAGTATTATAAAACACAGGAATTTATAACTAAAAGTTTTAAAAAAACCATCTTATATTAGAGAGTACAACTAGTTACATGTATATTTTTGATGTTTTATTTAAGTAGTTTGCCTATATAGGTTTTATTTTAGTTGTTATATTTGCAATTTAATTACAAATATTGCTTATTTAAACCTTTTGTACTGTAATCTTTACTGCATCATTATATCATTTTTAATAATATGTTAGTTAAAAAGTTTTAGATACTTACTTTAAAATGTTTATTTTGTTTTATGTGATTTATTCTTAAGACATTATTAAATTTTTTTATATTTTATATTATAACTAATTTAGTTTTCTATAATATCTTGTTTGTTTTAACAAATTTTTTTATATTACCAATTCAGTTAACTTTGCATAATGTAATTTAATAACTAAATTAACTAGTAATCAGATTGGCAAACTCTTGATTTAGAAGTTTATACTTATATAGATCATCTGTCTTAAGTTTTTTTCTCTAGATCAAAATTTTTATAAGTAATATTGTCAAAAATTATATTATTTTTTTCTACTCAAAATTTTCAAGCAGGTTTTTTTTTAAGTATAAACTTTATTAATTTATTCATATAACATTGTACACTTTCAAAATTAGTTTTAATATAATCAAAATTACAAAATTATAACTTTCAGATTATGAATAAATTATCAGAATAGAATTATTTTTTAAAATTTTATTATTAATAAAATTTAAATTCTTAACCTTTGTTTAAAGAATATCAACTTGACCATTTTACTAAAATGTTATTTTCTTTTTCTTTTATTTTATATTATAATATTAATATTTTAAAATTAAATTATAATAAAAAGTAAATTATAATAAAATAAAAAATAAAATCTATAAAAACTATTAAATTTAAAATTTGAAAGTTTTTTATAACCCTAGAAAGATTCTAAATATTAAATTTGAAAAAATTTTAAAAGTTTTTATTTTTTTAATAATAATTAAATTATTGTTTAAATTAAATTTTTTTTAATTTTGGTTAAATTTTTTTATTATAAGGCCATACAAAATTAATTAATTGGTTTTTATAACCTGGCCAGGTCAAATTTCGAAAAATTGTAAAAAAAAATTTTTATATGTTTTAATAGCGGATAGGTTTTAAAAGAAATTTTTTAAAAAAATTTTATAAAATTTTATATATGAAATTTAAAAAAAAGCCGGCCGGCCGAGTCTGGTTAAAAGCTTCATGTTATGAAAACCAAGATATTAAATTTGTGTAGCCTAATCTAATTTTTATTATAATTCGTTTTACTAAAATTATCAAATATTTTATCAATATATGATGATAAATATTTTTTTTAATAAAATTTAGTTTTTAATAGTTTATATAAAATTTTTTTATTTTTTTTTAACACAAAGATTTTTTAATTTATGAATTATTTTTTTCTAATTTATTTTAGATATTTTTAAAAAAGGATATTTTTAACTTGTACCAGTGGTTATAGATAACCATTATGCTATATCTCGAAAACTGCACCTATGAAACAGTAGTCGGGTATACTAAGTAAAAATGTTCACCTCACGAGAACTAAGATCGGGACCTGATACCCGATCTATATTATGTTATTTAAAAAAATATTTTATATAAAACCTTAAAGCTGCACCTTAACCTTAAGTTTTAATAAGGGTGGTTATTTCTAACCAATGGTGCAGGTTATAATAATTCTTTAAAAAATTATATAATAATGTTAATAATGTTATTGGTAATAATATAGAATTCAAAGTGATTGTATTTTATATTAATCAAATGGTTAATATAATGCATTAAAAGGTAATCTAAAAAAAACAGTTTTTTAGTTATTGAAAGTTTAAAAATTAGTGCAAAAAAAAAAATACTTTATATTATAACCTCAAACATAAAGTAGAACTATATTAGTAACTACTAAAGGTGATTACCGATTCTTGAGAAATGACAAAACGAACGTTTGTTTTGGAATTTTCTGATTCTTGAAATCCGATTTGTGGATCAGGACAATGATCGACATAACTTGGCACAGAAAGTTTGGGTGCTCATTTTAACGTGATACGCGATGATATCAATACTCAGCACTAGTTTCTTAAAACAACTCAAATGACCGCTCAACAGGAAATGGCTACATTTAATTCAACACAATTTATTCTAGCCTTACCATCTTTGGTTTGGCATGAGTCCTTTTGTCCTTTTAGTATTTTGGTAACTCTACATGCAATATATGTTAACTTGAATTATAAAGCTCTTTTAAAAAATGCGCAAGTTTCGTGGCTGCAGGGCTTTTTTTCTGTAATGGTTCTGAGCGTTGGAGGAACTTCAATAAGCGGTAGACTTATTACTAGCAATTTTATAATTTTTTATTTACTATTTATTTCCGAAATTAATATTTTATTTCCTTCATAACATGATACACATTTGAACAGCTATTCTAACCGGTAATGCGCCAGGTTGGCTAGCTTCAAACACAACCATGACGACATATTTGTAAGTTTTTCTCTATTGAATTGTAGACACATTTCTAAATATATATATCTTTAATTATTAATGTTTTAAGTTTTGAATATCTCCAGATGGATATATTCAATGATGTTTTATTTTCCAAGTTTTCAACAATTTTTTATTTCAATACCTTCATCCCTTCTTGACCCAATTCTTTTAATATCTGATGGTTTTATTCGTGGTAATGCAATATGTTCATCAGGAGTAGATAGAATTCGATTTGGAACGTATGATAACCCTTCATTAAACTCAAGTTGGGTTGCTATTTTGGTCTGCGGAACATTATGTGGTTGTGGTGGTGGTTTACTGGAATCTACTTTTCAGTTTGCATCACCAAAATGGACATTTTCTACTCCTTCAGCTTTTTTAAATCCTACTTATGATATGAAGATGAGTTTTATTATTGCTTTGTTTTATGCTCTGACAACTTCGGATGTTCAAATTTCAGTAATGTCTTTTACACCAATTTTAGACATTGATCAAGGAAGAGCTCTTGCGATCCTTGGCTTTGTAGGACTTAACTTGGCTAAATTGAAAGATTCTACACGTATTAAATATTGGCAGGATACAAAAAGTGTCGAAAACAAAGATAAAACACAATAATAACAGCAATTTGCTTATGAATATAGTCTTTACAATTTATAAACGTTTTATGAACCATCTTTTATTTTCAATCAGTATTATCTCTATGTAAATTATATACATTTAATGTTAAAACAAATAATAATCTCAAATAAATTGATTTATAACCATAATAAAAATCGAATAAGTTGACAAAATATTGCATACATTAGTTAGCAAATTTAACTTCAAGCGCTAACTTCAAGTACGACAGTAATACGAGAGTACTTTGTGATGAGATCGTCCAATCAAACTTGAGGAAGAAATTAAGGCACCAACAATCCTGCAATCATTTAATCGAAATAATTATGGGGTAAGGACCTTAATAGTTGCTGTTACTCTTCATCATGGATACTGTCAAAAAACACAAAAGCACAAAGAAATCAAGTAAAAATAAGAAACGCAAATTGAGTAAAGATGAAAGCATCATATCGAAGGAATCTAATTCAACTTTTGAAGAAGACAAAGTCGACAAAAAAATTAAAAAACTAAAAAAATCAAAAAAAAAAGATCGTAAGAAGCACAAAGCAAGCAAAAAGGAAGTTAACATAGACGATACAGTGTTAAAAGTAACTAATTCTGATTTTAAGGACAATAATGCCATAAAAAAATCAAACATAGATAATTTGACGACCTATGGAGTCGAAAATAACACGTTAACCAATACCTCGGTTGACGCAAAAAAAGCCGAAAATTCACCTTTTCGGATAGTTACTGCTAAAATGCTCATTGATTTGCCACCTAAAGCTTTCGAAGATTTCGATCAGGGAATTTATACATATATGAACGCGTTGATAATGCAATATGTTGAGGAGTTTAATGGCATTGTCCTTGCCTATGAAAACATTAAATTATGTGATAAGTCAGGGTACATATATGAAGATTCACCGTATTGTCATTTTTACGTACAAGCAGATTTCGTTATTTGGGATGCATCGAAAGGATGTAAATTGAGTAAGCGACTTGTATAAGAAAAATCATGATTTTTATAATTATTTATTATTATTATCATTTTAATGGTTTTGATTGTCTTTATTGAATATAGCTGGAAAAGTGATTCGGCAATCACCTACACACATAGCCCTATTACTTTATGAATCTTTTAACGTTAAAATATTTCGTGATTGCATACCTGATGATGTTTTTGAATGGAAAGATGATGAAGAATTCTTCAATGCAATGATTTCTGATAAACAATTAGAATTAGATAAATTATATCAGGATGGTGAATGGTTCAATAAACAAACAGGTGAAAGTCTTACTGATAAATGTATCGAATTTGAGGTTCTCGGGTAAGTTATAGATTTTTTAATACAGTTGATCATTCTTATAGTGTAAAATATTGTTAAATAAATAAATATTTTTAGATCTGAAGTGGATGAGGGTACTATCTTTATTGTCGGAACGCTCCAATGCTACAGTGATAATCCTGCACCAGAGAGGGCGAACGATGTTCCGTTTGATATGAGTGCACTTCTTACCTTTGGGTTTAGCAACACCCAGAGTTCGAGTAAGGATGATAAAATATAAGTCTGTCGATGGTAATAGTAAGGATGATGCATCATATTTGCAATGGCACGCCAAATTTTTTTGAATATTTCGTTTTCAATTGTTACAATAAAAACAGGCTTTTTCCACAGCTCCTAAGTAATCGCAGAGTATTTATAATTTTATTTATCTTATAATTAGGGTTAGTCAAATCACTGGTCGACTAAAAATTTGCTGGTCAATGGTCAAATTGGTCTGGATTATACAAATATAATACATATACTATATTTACAATTCGACCAATTTGACTAGTGCTAAACCCCTATACTTGCTATCCAAATATCAACTATTATAGTTTTGGTTTGCTCACGCCCAAATCCCAAACTCTGGCTAAACCAATATCTCAGAAACTTTGATAATAGTCTTTACCCAAACTATTTGGTTAATTTGACCAATGACCAGCAAATTTATAGCCGATCACTAATTTGACCAACACTATTTACAAAATATCAAGATTGTTTCATTGTTTTTTTAAGGTATGTGTTTTGCCGGCAAGTATACTAAACCCTTGGACTAGTCTGGTCAAATTGATTGGGTTAAGAATGACCATTGACCAGCGTGCTAACCTGTTTATAACTATTTATTACTAAAATTAAACCACAAAAAGATTCAAATACTAAATTAAGTACCTGGAAAAAAAGCTTACAAGATTCGGATACCAAATTGTTCGAATTTATACCACATTACTCAATTAGTTTAAAACTTACAGAAATCTAATTACTCTAATTAGAGTTAGGCACGAAAAATCACCATGCAGAGTACGAGATGTGGTATTAATGATCATATGGTAAATGTGTTCACTTAGAAGCATTATTCAGTAGTCCGTTTTTTCTTTCATACCGTATAAAGAGTCTTATATTTTAAGACTTGCTATGAACGACTATGATTGTCTAATTTATATACGTGGCCGAAATATTTCGGCCACTTGGCAAATAAATGTGATAGAAATTAGGCTTCATATAATTTAAACCAAATCCGCAGAACCTTTTCGTATTTCGGCAAGACACCTTTGGTATTTCAGCAGACTCTGTAATTTTCGAAAATCCGTACTTACAGCTATTTTCCTAATTTCTGGAAAAATTGACCGGGTTAAGTTATTGATTTTGGCAAGATCAGGTATGTACGTATATAAATTACGTTACATGTATATAGATTACATATGAGTGCCGCCAAGGAAAACCTGTCGTAGGAGTTTAAATTATATTTTGTGTACAGTTGGCCGTCTAAGGAGAATCTATCGTCGGGCTTTCAAATATATTTTGACCCTGAAAAATTAATTAGAAAACTACGTCAGATCAGATTTTGCAGAGGTCACAAAATATATTTGAATATCCAACAATAGGACAAGTTTTCCCTTGGCGGCACGAGTGCTGTCAAGGGAAAACCTGTCATCGGGTTTTTAATTACATTTTGTGTTGAATTCAATCTATTTGATTTATTATTAATTGTGAAGCTTGATGACAGATTTTTTCTCATATGTTATTGCACAAACTAAGCATACTAAGCATGTTGAGCAAATGTCAAATGAAGATTGAATGTGTTGATATTTATAATGTTAGGAATTATTTGTAATTTTTATGCAAATTTACTGATATCAGTCACACATCTAAAATTTTATCATAAATTGTATAAATTGATTTTTTTTGTTAAGGTTAATGTTTATTGGTTACTATTACTTTTTTTTTTTAAATATTAATGGTGAGGCCATACCTTTAACTTTATTGAAATTCAATTGAAGTTTTTACAAAAAAAAGTTTGTTTTTAAATTACATATGAAGAATAAAGATTCAAACATATAATTTGTGACTTAAACCTAATGATTATTATTTTTATTTGTGTTTTTAATTATATATTATATAACTTATATAGATATACAACTAGTCATATATGTAACTTTTGATTACTTATTTAAGTAGTTTATCCATAGATTTTAATAAAAGTGTTGTTACAAAGTAGATTTTAGTATAGTATATTATATAATAGTATTAGTAGTTATATATATATTCATTATTGTATTTTATATATTATATTTATTATTAGTTATTAGTTACTAGGTAAATGCATAGCATTGTATGTCTGGAGTGAGTATTAAATTACAAATTATACTACATTTGCTATACTATATATATGTGTTCTATTTGATTGAATGATCATCACATGATGTGGCTAGACAAACAAACCTTGCATATCACTCTTTACAGAATAATATAGTGTTCTTTGCTACACTTCAGACAAATTAGTTAGTTAGTTGATAATTATATTATATCTCTTAAACTGTATTCTAGACAAATTTGCCTGAAAATTTAAATTTTTTTTTTTTTATGACCTCTTTGGTCTTTTAACTTTTATTAATTACTTATTAATATTGTGGTTCAATAAACTATTACAGAAAAGTATACAATTGGTTACATGTATAACTTTTCTATATTACCTATTTAAGAAGTTCACTTGAAGATTTCTTATCAATTGTCATATATAACACTCCTGCTTGGGTGTTTCATTTTAAACTTTCTGAACTTGTAACCTGTATTAACTTACTAGGTCATATCCAGATCATTATCTCAATCTTAGGATTAATTTATCTTTGAGATAAATCCTCCAAAGCCTTCTGTACACATTTTTATAGTTAACTTAGGTATTGTTATAACAGAACCAATACTTGCAATCAGGGCTTAACTATTAAATTATTATACTCTTGTAGAGTTCACTTAGATCCTAGCATTTACTTCACAGCATAATCTTGGTACTTTAGTATACTTCTGCCTTTTCACCTGTCTTTTTACCAAACTTCCAATTCAGATAACCTATGTAGAACTATGATCAGTCCATCAGTATATCAGGTTGGTCCAATATCTTTTTCCTTTGGTTTATTATAGTGACCTGATTGATGATACTTCTAAGACTTCCAATCTAAAGGTTCTTGCCTATTCAATTACTATGACTAAGCACTATGACCTTGGTATTCATTTCTCTGAACTAGTCTTTATAATAGAGCTATTGATAATCCAGCTACTTCTTTACTTAGGTCTTTCTAAATGAACTTCTTGTTATTCAATTTTAATAGATTTATATAACCACAAGAACTTATCTAGTGTTTTCATTATCTAATTTGTCAGTTTGCATTTTTCTGTATAATGCTATACTTATACAAATGCTCTATGACTTGCCAGTTATGCTGGTATAACCATTATTACAGATATTCTAACTCAATTATTAGTAACAGTTGCTGTAATATAAATATTATATAGGTGATTATTTAAATTTTTTATTGTCAATAGAATTTAAACACCCAACCTACTACTTGGGAGGTTGACAACCTGACCATTTCACTAGGTTACTACACTCTTAGAAAATTAAATTATATTTAGTATTTTTTAAATAAAATAATAATTTATTAATAATATAAGATATATTTTGCTTATAAAA